ACTTAAGTTTACCACCTGATTTTTTCAACACTAGCAATTTTATTTCAAAATATAAATATTTTACATTTACAAAGAAGTTACATCAGTAGGTTGTCAAAGCAAGTTAAAGCTAAGAAACAGCATTTGTGTGAGAATAAAGAATATGTATTGTTGTATTTGAATAATCCTTTTTTTCAAACCATCTCTACTTTGCCTGAGAATGCAGAGATGATACACTTTCCAAAAGTTACATAAGCAAGTTATAAACTATTATGACCTCAATAAAAAAAACCTATAAAAAAAGTTACATAAGCAATTACAACTATATATCCAATCTTGGTTTCAAAATCAAATAATATTTGAAATACACTCCGGTTACCTAAACGAGTGGCACAGCAAAGGACAAAAGAGGGTTTTCTTTGGGATAGCTATAACAGGAGTTACATTTTCTGGGTCACTGCAATAAAAAAAATATATAGTATTTGATAATAAGCCAAATGATGTTACTTTAAGATTTGCTTCCACACCTTTCACTGTAAAATATAAAGCTAGAAGAAAAATACGAAACCAGGTGTGGAGTCAAGAACTCTGGACTTGGAGTCAGAAGTTCTGCAACTGAATTCTGGCTCCATCACTTTGTGGTATAAACTTAAGGGAAAATCACAAAAAAAAACCTTTCTGAGCCCCCAGTCAGTGCCTCATTTGATAATACTTAACACCTGCCTATCTCACAGGGTTGTTAAGAAAGCAGTCTAAAAACTATGAAGTGCCATACAAAAGCATTATTAAAATGTATCAATATATCACCAGTGTATTCGCACATTAATTGATCCTTGAAAAACTTGCAAAACTGAACACAAACACTGATTTTACACACCATAGGTGGAAAAGAATCTCTATACTTTATGTATAGCTCTGAACGGCAAATGTGTTTTCTTTCTAGTATCTCTCTAAACTTGGAGATTTACTACAGTTTACATGGTACCATGGTAGTAGACTTACCATTCAGAAATTTCCATTAGGGATATCATCTAAAAGACCTGTACACTTACTCGAGAGCCATGTTTCCCAGAGGATCAGCAGTCCTTTGAGTAAGAAAAGGAGGATGGGGGCACGGTTTAAAGTCAAATAAGTCTAGTAAACATAGTCTTTGTCCCCTCTTATAAGTTCACAATATATAATAGCACATTAAAAACTCTTCGAAATCCTACAGAAAGGATATAAACTCAGCATTCTGCAATTTGAATTGAACATGGAGTCTTCTCCCACCACACACACTTTTCTTCTCTTATAACGTCCCGTGGAACTACTGCTATAAGGAACACATTTTTCCAAAAGCTACGCAACTACAAGGGAAAGGGCAAAGAAGCAGAACAAAGGACCGAGGGGAAAAAAAGAACTATCTTCTACTCCGAATTCTGTTACTAACGGGCTCTGCGTGTGTCAGAAAAACCACTTTAACCTCTGGATTTGTTTCCTGCTCTAAAAAAAGCCAGGATCACCTAATTAAATAAGGCCCATTCTACCACAGAAATTCTATGACTGTAGTAGACAGAACATCTTGATTTATAACTCTCTTGATTATTTTTAAACTATCAAAAAATAACTGCTCAGAGGTTTCAGATACCATGTGTATTTTTTGCAGGTCCTCAATAAGTTAATGAAATGGATATATTTTGATGGCAAAAAGTGTAAAGACAAAAAATTAATAAAAACAAAAAGTACTTGTTCTTAGCTGGAAGTAGCATTTGGAAAAATGTTCCCAGAGGCTATTTCCACTGTGAAATACCTACCGACATACTCTTGGAAGGGTCTTGGAAGACCCTTAGAGGAGACTGCCAGTCGGGACCAGAGTATGGGAAGTTGTGAAGGGGTCTTTCCTATAAACCTTGAGGCTGAAAGCTCTGGATAGCTCACCTAAAATTACTTTGCTCTAATCTGACCCCGCATGGCCTGAATTTCTGAGTATTTCTTGTCCAGAAGTGACACATCCTGAAGTGCTAATTACAACCAAAGTGGGAACTGGCGGTACTGGGAAGTCCTGATGGGTCACAATGGGTTCATGTGAAGAATAAGGTTAGCCAGAGGACTTCATCTGCAAGCCCTTTAGCAGCTGTATATTCCAGTTGAAGGGCAGCTATTTCCCAAGTTACTGAGTTTGTTTAAATAGAGTGTCTCCATAACACTTCTTGGGTATCCTCCCACTGTCAAGAGTCAATCTACACCAGTCTCAGAAGTCAAGGGAAAACTCTGCCAGCCAACTACCTCTAATGGAAGAGGGTTTTAGAATCCTTGCAAATTTAAAAATAAACAAAACTTGTATCTAAGGTAATCTGACAGAGATCACTTCCAGGAACAGAGAATGTGACAGGAATTTTGGAACTGAAGGAGGACTTGGACGACATGGAGTTTATGCTGAAAATCCCATGCCTTGTTTTCTCTCAGAAAAGAGAGGAGCACACTGTGGGGAGAGCTTGTATCTCCTCCTTCCATTCCCCCATTCGGTTTACAACTGGATAGTGAATGTGAACTTCAAACTAATCTTTAATAAAGCTATAAAACGGCAGACATTGTAACAGGATTCTGCATTTGGTTTTTACCGAAGCTACTTCTACTTCACCAATGCATTATCTGTTCCTAGAGAAACTTCTGGGTCAAATCCTGAGAATCTGAGGGTAGGTCATCTTTGAGACTTGAGCTTGACACTCCTACCTTTTCATACCATTATAATCTCTATGCCCTGTGAAAATTCTGTAAAACCTCCTCACTATATCTGAGGGGCATGTTTCTCTCTGTCTTTGAAGGTTCCAGGAAGACCACCCCCAGCTGGTCGACCTGCGAGTCCTTATGCTGTTGCTGAAGGACTGGGGCAGTTCAAGTGTCCTGATCAGGACTGTCTAGCACTCTGGGGCACCTCTGTTCCTGTGATATTGCATCATTGCTAATTTTGGTAGCTCTAAACCATTCTCTAAGGGCTCAGAGTTCCCCTCTAAGAACTTGGTATTCATACTGATAATTACGACCAGCAACAGCCATACATTAGCTCAAGTTTAGTGTTTTGCAACATCACTTTATACAGCTAAAAGCACTTTGGAGGAACATAATTTGTATATGCACACTAACTCATTGTGTATAATATTTGCCTCTTAGAAATATGTGCTAATTACAGCTATAAACTTACCAGTATACCATTAACAAAAACAAACCTGATTTCTTTCTTAACCCTTTAAATGCAAAATTTTTAATTTTAATCATTTTAATGATCTGGCTAAGATTTAAAGTGAAAAAGAAGGCTTTCTTCTGAGCTATCCCCTCAGCACCCTGTACAGTGCCTGCCATGGAACCTGGAGTGTGGCAAACTCTAAACAAATGTTTAACTGAATGAATGATGGAACAACTGACTAAAGAAAAGAATGAGTTCCTTAGTGGCCAAATGTAAAACTCGGTGGAATATCAGATTATAATTTTTGAAGGATTCATAGTAAAAAATAAGAGGTCTGCATGTAGTCTACCGTATGAACAAAGACATTACAGTAGCCTCTTTTCTAGAAGGAGTTTTTCTTAAGTAATAGAATACATTTAAAGTAAGTATCATTAACTATGCTTCTTACTGAGATGTTTTAGAAAAAATGATTTCTACTTTTAAATGTTTTCCAAAAAGGAAATCTTTGATACTTAAGAATGCTTTCTTCTCCATGTTCCCTTGAGGGCAGAGAAAGAGCCTGATGATTGTTTTATACAGTGGAAAGGGCACAGGGCTAAGAGCTGGGTTCCAGTCCCAGCCCTGTCATTAACTGTAGGGCAAGTCTCTGAGACAGAACAGGACACCTATTCTATCTCATAGCACTGGAAAAATTGCATAAGATATTAGAAGAAACACTACAGCATAGCAGAGTTTGCACACTATGGTGTCAGAAAGATCTGAGGTCAAATCTTACTAAACTTGATGTCTTTAAGTTGGTCACTTTTCTTTCTTTTTTTTTTTTTGTGAGGAGATCATCCCTGTACTAACATCTGCCAATCCTCCTCTTTTTTTGCTGAAGAAGACTCGCCCTGGGCTAACATCCGTGTCCATCTTCCTCTATATGGGACGCCAGCACAGCATGGCTTAACAAGCAGTGGGTCGGTGCGCACCCAGGATCCGAACCGGCGAACCCCGGGCCGCCGCAGCGGAGCACGCGCACTTAACCGCTTGCGCCACCAGGCCGGCCCCAGTTGGTCACTTTTCTGAACCTTAGCTTCCCTGTTGTAAAATAATACAAAGCTCTATGAAAGCTGATGTGAAGTGGTTGTAAAATAATATGTGCAAAAAGACTTTGTAAAATGTAAAGCACTATGCTGGTTACTGTGACATCTGAGATATTTAAAAAGTCACAATTGAAATCAACAACCATTCATTTAGAGTGTTATGTGCAAGGCACTGTGCTAAGTGATGGAAAAATAGTGCATAAATATAATTCTACTGCTAATAAGTACTAATTGGCAGAATTCCAAATAATGAAACAGGGATACATTTAACAAATCAGAGTATTGCTGCACCTGAGGTTTTTTCACTTAAAACATTTGGAAAGAAAAATCACAAGATAAATTCTATCATATTGTTACCATTAACAGCAGCTTAATAAGTATTTAACTTCAATGTAGTTGGTCAAGTTTTAGAAATTTGGCAACAGTGTAATGGGGGATGGAGGGAGAAGGAAGGGAAGGAAGAGCTTCAGTCTTTCTGTGTGTCCTCTGGTTGCAACATACAACTAACAACTTCAAATAAGCCACCTGCCCTTACACTGAAGATTTGCTCTTTCTGGGCCAGCCCCGTGGCTTAGCGGTTAAGTGCGCGCGCACTGCTGCTGGTGGCCCGGGTTCGGATCCCGGGCACACACCGACGCACTGCTTCTCCGGCCATGCTGAGGCCGTGTCCCACATACAGCAACTAGAAGGATGTGCAGCTATGACCTACAACTATCTGCTGGGGCTTTGGGGAAAAAATTAATAAATAAAATTTGAAAAAAAAAAAAAAGATTTGCTCTTTCTTAAAGAGAAGACTATACACTGTGGGAGAAGGGTAGAAGACTCATTTTTCCTGCTCAAGCAACTATATACTCAAAAGTGAAAGCCCTCTTCATTGAAAAGTGACCATCATAGAAAAGTTCAAAAATAGATTTCTTAAAGCAGGAGAAAATGACATTGTATACAATTTTAATAGCAGGTAGTTTAGGCTCTTAAAGTAACTTTATAAATACACATTATAATAATATAGACAACCAAAGTGGGAAAATTTCAAGCCACGGTACCAGTGTATAAACAAACTTTTCAAGCCATCTTAGCGACAGTTCAGTGAGCAAACCACATTTCCAAGCTCTAAAGCTGTGCTTTAAAATGCAAAGCAGCCCACAGCAAGTTCTCTCTTGTCCAGGCATTCCGTATGAAAGGCCAGGAGGCTTCTGCTTCTTTTCCTGGGCTCTGCTTGCTAGGCACAGCTGAAAGGACAGAAGGCCACAGCTGAGCTGAACTCACAGTCAAGGCTGAATTTCCTAGAGAAATCACTGCAGTGGAAGCCATGTCAGTCTACTGACGATTTCAGATCTTCAGAAATGTCACGGAAAGTCCTATAGGAAGAAAAGATAGAATAATCAGTTTTGCTTTTGGAAAAGGGGGAAAAATAAAACCACAGAGATACTACAAGAGAAAGGAAAGAAAAACAGCATCTAACCAGTACTTAATTGCCATAGAACAATACCTTATTTTTATAACCTGAGAGCCTTGATGACTTTATATAGTTACTATTTTTTTCTTGGCATTTTCACTGAGTCTTGTTTCAAAGTCTGCTAGCTGTCTCTCACTCCTTAGTAACAAGAACTCCAGTTTTTTGCTGGGTCCACTGTCTCCCACCCAAAAGACTACTTCCCCAGACTCCCTTGAAACTAATGACCATGTGACTAAGTTCTGGCCAATGAGATGTAAGTGGAAGTGGTGTGTGATTTCTGGGCAGCGTCCTTAAAAGCCAAGGGTGATCTTCGACCCTTTCCCCTTCTCACTGGCTGGAAAGTGGAAATAACGATGTTAAAGAGAAAAACACTAAGAGACCAAAGATTAAACACTAACTGGGTAAGTTTTATTGCAAAATAGGAAACCTGATCCAGCCGACTCCAAGCTCTGAGGGATGTGGCTCAGGGCAGAAGAAGTGGGGTAGGTCTCTTCATCAAATGATCTTGTAATTGTACTGTCTCTGACCCACACTAGGCAAGCCAAGCAAATGCTGGTAATTGGCAGGTAATATCTGTGCCGGATGGAGGTGGTGTGAAGTCTACATATATACATCAGGACTGTAGTAGCTAGCTTGCCTTTGCTACATAAATTTACATGCCCAAGCTAGGATGATGTCACCCAGTCAGGTCTGCATCTGTATTGGCAGCCAAATGGCCAGGTCAGAGTCTATCAATGAACATGAGCTCAAGCAGCCATCTTAGACTAAAAGGCTTCACACCAAGGCTGGCAGAAAACATCAGGATGCAGGGAGGCTGGACATGGATATTTGCAGAACAGTCATATTAGCCCTGGACTGCCTACCTCTGGACTTATTTCACCCAAGAGAGAAACTTCTACCTCATTTAAGTCACCATTACCTTGAGTTCCGCTAATGGTTGGGTTTTTCAGTTTTTTGTTTGTTTTTTGGTTATATACAACCAAATCTACCTTAAATGATACAGCTATAAAGCACAAGTTTGCTTATTTATTTATTTTTTGCTGAGGAAGACTGGCCCTGAGCTAACATCTGTTGCCAATCTTCCTCTTTTTTTGCTTGAGGAAGATTGTCACTGAGCTAACATCTGTGCCAACCTTCCTCTATTTTGTATGTGGGATGCCGCCATGGCATGGCTTGATGAGCGGTGTGTAGGTCCAGACCCAGGATCCGAACCTGCGAACCCCAGACCACCAAAGCAGAGCACGCAAACTTAACCACTACACCACTGGGCCGGCCCTTGAAGCACAAGTTTATTACCATCCTTATTTAGATAGAAGTTACCTTGCTCCTTCCTTTACAACAATATCACCAATTAGGTACATAGAAAAATATTTGAGCTTAAAACGTTTGTGTTTTTCAAAACAATTTTGAAGTCTTCAAGTTATATTAATTTGCAGCCACATCACTATACTGATATTGCTCCTTCTTAGATTATCAGTCAAATAAAGCCCATTTTATTTTTATATCTACAACCAAGTGTTAGTTAATGTAAAAAGATTACTCAACTTTTTCCTTAGAAATAGACCTAAAATAGAATATAGGGAAAGTATTCCAAAACTTCAGGGAACAGCTCACAATTGTATAAACAAAAGACAACAAAAAGTTGTCATTAGGTACAAATCATCTACAAATTACACAGCAGATAATCTGAACTTCAGAAGTAATTCCATACTCATGCTACCTCTCTTTCTCCTTTTGTCTTACTCGTTTTGTCTTCTCAATTTTCAGTTCATTCAAATATTTAGGAATGTTAGATAGGCACGGCAGAGGTAAACGAAAGACTAACCTTTTAGCATAATGTTGGAAATACTTCAATGTCAAGAGGGGCACAGGTAAAATGTTACAGAAAAGAGATTACATTAAAGGATGCTGAGTTATCTCAAGGCTCTTTCACCGGATGGTGCCCTAACCTCTTTCCGCCAAAGAAACAGGGTTCAGGAATGAATGGGTAAGCTTCTTGGCTACGGCTCCTGTGGCTATGAAAGCGTTTATGTGTGACATGGCCAAACCCATCATGTTGAATACATGCTGACAGGTCAAAGAATTGGAATAAATTTTGTTTCCTTAAATATTTTTTATACTGTGAAAAAAATTCCCCAAAACTAAGATTTACATATACACACATATGTTTTCTATGTATTAATATCCAGCTATCTATATATCAATCAAATCAGGGTTTCTCAATAGCAGCACTATTGACATTTTTGTGCATTATAAGATGTTTAGCAGCATCCCTGCCTCTACTCACTAGAGTTGGGACGATCAAAATGTCCCTAGACACAGCCAAATGTCCCCAGAGGGGAGCAAAATCACACTCTCTCCTCAAAGCCATTGCTCTAGATATTTATGTATCTACCTATTTATATGTCTGTTTTTCACAGTCTCACCCAAGTTTGTGCTTTTACATTTGTGTACAGGCAAAACTGACTACAAGCTGTCTCAGATGATATGAATTTCAAGTAGCACTCAATGCTGGGAAGCCCTAGAAAATCTTTAAAAACAATAACCAAAAACTGGCCCATATTACAAAGCATTTTCTAACACTCAACAGGTTTCTAACTTCACTCTTTGACATCTCAAATTTCTAAGATATCTGCAAGTCTGAATCTCTAACATTTCAATTCTTCTAAATTATGAATGAAAATTTCTGCCTCAGGGCAAAGATGCATGGAATAAGATGAAGACTGTGGTTGGCCTAGTGACTGCTTTCTGTTGACAAGTACGCTTAGCTGTAACCCTGAAATTCATACCTACTATTCAATTCTGCCTCCAGGCCAAGAAAGCCTCCAGAAGGACTCAGAATGACAACAAAGTAAAGCAAGCTGAGAAAACAGTTACTAAGAATCTTCCATCTCAACAGTACACATTCTCTAGATGTTCAGGGGCGGTGGGGTGGGGGTGTAAAGTGCTATAGAAGTAACACTGATCTTAAACAAACCTCAATTATCTCCTGGAAAACAAACTCCACAACCTAAAAATCAAGAAAGTACTCTAAGATGCATGATTTCAGGAGTGTTTTTGCCCGTCTCCACACTTCTCAAACAGTTCCAGTGTTAACAGAGAACACAGGAGGTGATATGTTCTGATTATTCAGTAGAGGCCAAAATAGTTGGGAGCCCAATGTTGTGCTGCGTCCACGACACTCACCCCCATCAAATACCACATTCACCACTAACAGTGAAAATCCGAGAAAAGGGGTCCTCCCTTCTTCGGGATAGTTGTTCATCCATCTGAAGATAGAGGTAGTACATAGAAATAGTCTTGCAAATGTGTCTTTTTAGCCCCCTGTGCCTGCATCTGCAATTAGAAGGTACATCTGCCTAATAAAATGCAACCACCCACCCTCTATTATCACACTGTAACAACATAAGGCAAGCCCTTCCATAGCTCATGCCTCTGTACTGACTATTCCCTCACAGCCCACTCATCCCTTCAACTAGGAACTGAGCACATTCCAAGTACAAAACACTATTGACAGGTGCAGTGGATACACCAGTAACTAAAACTGACATGGCCCCTGCAGTAATAGCAACCACAGTCAAGTGGGAAGAGAAAAGACAAATAATCAAATAAAATTATAAATAAAAATTGTACTATAAAGAAAAGGTACAAGATGCTGTCTATAAAAGCATTAAACTAGCAGGAAGAACGTAACCTAATCTTGGGGTAGGGAAAGCTTCTCTGATGAACTGACATTTGAGTTGAGATCTGAAGAAGGATTAGTAGTTAATTACGCAAGGAGAGACGGGGGAAGGGGAGAGTCTCCAGATAGAGAAAGGAGCGTATATAAAGGCCCAGAGTTTGAATGGGGCCTGGTGTATCTGAGGCCCTGATAGAAAAGCAGGAAGGCTACGGCTCAGACAGCAAAGGGAAAATGTTTGAGGATTAGTGAGGCAGGCACAGGTCAGATCATGTAGGGCCTTGCAAGCTAAGCCAAGGATTTTGATCGTCCTCCTAAAACCAAGGGGAGGCCATTTTCAGTAAGACAGCTTCACCATCAGACATGCTTGCATTTTGAAAAGAACATGTCAGCTGTACTATGGAGAATGGACTGGAGAACAGTAAGAGAAGAGGCTGGGAGACTAGTTAGATCATTCATTGAAGCACACCAGCTCACCTGCTTTTTAGCCATGTGACTATGGGCAAGTTAACCTCTCTGAGCCTTGTTTCCTCACCTATAAAACATGGAAAACAATCATCCCTAACCTCATATGAAAACATTGGACAGATTAAATAAAGTAAGATAACACATGTAAAGTTTTATCACAGAACCTGGCACACACTAAGTCCCAATAAATGTCAGCAGTGGTTGTGTTTGTTATATTTAAGAGGTCACTTCGACTTCCCACTAAAAAGTGATGCATTGAACACAATTTCCTTCAGGTCCTCTCAAAAGCCCATTAGAATGACAGTAAAAGTATTTTTTTAAAAGCATAAACTTACCTGAAAAAAGGGAGAAAAAAGAACATAAGCAGTAAGAGCAACAAACGTTTAGAAGGTGGAAAGCAGATGGACAAGTGCTGTGACCCAGCACACCCAAAACGCTGATCCTGAGCCAATATTGGGAAAAACCAAGAAACAATCTGATTTATTCAGCAAAATCTCCCATGAGGCTCAGGAATCGGTGACATAAAGTAACTCTGGAAGTTGGGTTAAGGGGGGGGCTAAATACAGGAGGACTGCTTTAAAGTCTGCTTAAACAGCAATAAGACCCCACCGCTCCAATATCCTCGCCCACCTACACCTGGCCAAGCAACTGCCCCTATCACTGGCAGAAAATTAGAGTTTTTTATCCCTCTGGAGAAAGTAAAACAAAAAGTCTCTGGACCAGGGAATAACAGGCAGAGATGGGGCTGGGGGTAC